CCCTTTCTTCAAGACCACAAACCAAGGTAGCTGACCCTCCACGAGAGGGTTCTGTTATTGGGATGGAGAAAAGCAAGGCTTCACCTCATCTTACACTTGCAGGGAAGTCAGGGCAGGAACCTGGAGGCACGCACTGATGCAAAGGCCATGGAGGAGTACTCCTATCTTAACTCAGCCTGCTTTCTTATAGCACCCAAGACAACCTCGCTGGGGGTGGCACAGTCCACAGTGAGCTGTCAATCAAGGAAATACACTCCAGGTTTACACACAGGCCAGTCTGGGAAGGGGCATTTTTTTCAGTTGAGGTTCCTGTTTCCCAAATGACTCCAGTTGATATCAAACTAGCTAGCACACTGGGCTGTCACAAGGGCTAGGAAATCTTTTTTGCTAATTACTCAAAGTTCATCATATGTGAGGATGACAGACAGGTTTCCCGTATGTTCTATTTAAGGGCAGCCATCTCTCGCATGACTGCGCCCTGCCTTTGTTGTGTGTGTGGTATGTATGCATGTGTTCAGATGGAGGCCTCTATAGTGGCTGTTTTCCTTAAGTGCTTTGCCCCCTAAATATGGATGGACGGTCTCCTGCTGAACCTAGGCCCACTGTATTCTGATCTGCCACCCTGCCTCTAACTCCGGCACACTGACTCTGGTCCTCACAATTGTGCAGCAAACGCTTTGCCCTAGCCTGGCCCTGCCTCTTTTTAGGAGCTGTACAGCCAGTCTTATGACGAAATTGGAGTCATGTTTGCCTCCTTGCCCAACTTTGCGGACTTCTACACCGAGGAGAGCATCAATAACGGTGGGATTGAGTGTCTACGCTTCCTCAATGAGATCATCTCTGATTTTGACTCCGTGAGTGTCCTGTCATAGAGCTAGCATCTTTTATCAGAGCCCAAGACCTTCTGCACGAGTCAAAGAAGCAAGCTATGCTAGGCTGGCTTCATTTCCCATAGGAGACTTTTATAGTAATTGAACCTCTGTAGCCATCCAGTACTGACGAGTCTGAGGGGTAAGGCAGGATCCTGGGACAGCTCTGGCAAGTGCACGGGATTAAGGACTTCCATTCCTCCTACCTGCAAACCCTTCACATTGACTGGACACTTCTTAGGTGCTCCACCACCTAAGGAGACTGTCCACTGACACTAAGACATGGAAACCGAGGCCGAGGATGGTGTGCCACGGTAGCATGGAATGACTAAAGCCAGTATAGGAAAGTGTCTTTTAGATGTGTTGTTGATCCTTGTAAAACAGAAGAATTTGATCATGAACTCACTCCTCCTCCTTTGACTCTTAATTCTGTCCTCAGCTCCTGGACAACCCCAAATTCCGGGTCATCACCAAGATCAAAACCATTGGCAGCACCTATATGGCAGCTTCTGGAGTCACCCCAGATGTCAACACCAATGGCTTTACGAGCTCCAGCAAGGTAGAGATGGCAGCAGTGTCAGGGCCAGGCGGCCAGCCTCAGCCTATGGGAAATAGGAATCGGGTGCAAAGGGCTCATTCCTACAATGCCCCATACTGTTTAAGAACTGTCAGTTCTGGGGCAGTGGATGCCTAGGGGAGCCCTGGAAACTCTCAGCCACTGTGACTGTAGACCCATGGAGCCTGCTGTGACTTCTAGCCCAGAAAAGGAACTATGGGATTCTTGGGGCTGAGCACTGCTCTTAAATCACCCATCTAGTTTTCCTTTCCATCTCAGCTTTCTGGGTTATGTAATGCAAGCTGAAGGTAGCTCATCACGTGCTTATGATCCTGAGGAACCAAGGCAAGCCCAAACTCAAACCGTAACCTTGTTACAGTCACACAGACACAGGAAGCGACAGAGAGACAGGGCCTCAGTCTTTGCCTTACACAGACATATGGACTCTGCAGTAGTGACGTGCTGACCCTAAAGACATTGCTAACTCTTTTTGGAGAGGAACAAAAGCCTGCTCCCTTATATCCGTCCTGTAACAGCTCTGCCTTAGCTGCTCACTAACAGTTTTATCACTTTTCCACACAGGAGGAGAAGTCAGACAAGGAGCGCTGGCAGCACCTGGCCGACCTGGCTGACTTTGCGTTAGCCATGAAGGACACGCTCACAAACATCAACAACCAGTCATTCAACAACTTCATGTTGCGCATAGGTAAGGGCGCCGGCAGCACTGGGGCACTCAGCAGACCAGACTTAAAAGGTGATGGCAGGCTGGTGGGGAAATCACACTAACAGAGCTAGAGGGGACCCAGTGACCTTTAGTCCTGTTCTCTTTGAGGAACAGCCAAGCTAGACCCATGGCTAAGGTTCGAAGCCCAGCCTCCCTTCAGAGTCAGGCATTGCAATACAGCAGTGTGAGGAGCGGCTCCCCTGCTTCTGTGAGTCTGCACAAGTTGGAAATACAAGATAGGTCACTGAGAAGCTGGCCACTACAGCCCTGAGTATTAGCGTGACACACAGCTGGGCAGGACTTTTCGCAAGGGCTTCCGCTTTAGAAAGGCAACTTTCAATAAGGAATGTAGGTGCTATATGGTCAGGAGCCCTGTGGGGGTCAGGTGATCATCTCTGAATGAGAAATGGGTAGCCTCTGTGAGGCTAATGCTCCACTCTCTCTGCTCCAGGCATGAACAAAGGCGGGGTTCTGGCTGGAGTCATCGGAGCCCGGAAACCACACTATGACATCTGGGGTAACACCGTCAATGTAGCCAGCAGAATGGAATCCACAGGGGTCATGGGCAACATCCAGGTATGTCTGGCACCAGAATGAGCATGTGTTGAATGCAGGGCGTACAACTAAAGAAGTCCGTGTGCTTTGCTGTACATCACTGGCCCTGGCCTGTGGGCCACAGGTCAAAGTTGGCAGTGCTGCAGGGCTATGCCTCTAGAGCCTTAACAGAAGGGGAGAAGGCTTTGGTCCATTGCAGCATTTAAGACTAGGAGTTGTGCGTGAACAAGAGCTTGCCCTTTGGTACAAAGTTCACGTGCAACTGAAGCTCGCGACCTAAAATGGTCGTCTGACACCTGCATGTCCACGGTTCTCGCTCCATGTGGGTTGGGGTAGAGCACTGGACACTGTCTATCTGCACAGTACTGAAGCAGCAGCACCGTCTGGGCCGTCAGTCTTAACCACTACACCCACCAGTCTTGTCTCCCTCTTCTCTAACCTTGTCTGTTCTCCATGTGCAGGTGGTAGAAGAAACGCAGGTCATCCTTCGCGAGTATGGCTTCCGCTTTGTGAGGCGAGGCCCCATCTTCGTGAAGGGCAAAGGGGAGCTCCTGACCTTTTTCCTGAAGGGGAAGGACAGGCCAGCCACTTTCCCCAACGGCTCCTCTGTTACACTGCCCCACCAAGTGGTGGACAATTCCTGAATGGCCTCTGGCCCCCATATGGTCCACATGGGAAGGGAGGTGGTTTTGGAAACAGAGAATGGCTTTTGGGAAAGGGCCACTGACCAAGTCCTGGTGTTCCCGAGTTGTCGACGTGCACATTCCCATAGACCTTAGGTTCAGATTTCCTCTAGCCTTCCTGTGTGGATGTGAGTGCTGAGGGTGGCCATCCCTAGCCTCAGTGTGCCTGTAGCTTCCCCAGTGTAGGGGTCTTAGGCATAGCACTGGGACAGCCTTTCTGGGCCTTTGTCCCAGCTCAGTCCTCATCCCTAGAGAGGCCATGGCCACTGTGAGTAGGATGGAGGTGGAGGAAGCTGCCTGTGCTGCAGGCTCTGCTGAAGGGGAGGGCTCAGCGCAGAGACAGCTCCCGCCTGGCTGCAGTCTGGAGCAGCGCTTGTTATTGGATAAGGAGCGCTCCACGGCAGACGGGCGGGTGGACTGCCTCCTCCTGTGCAGTTAGGTCAGTGGCCCTTACCCCCACGTTCCTGATAATCTTGAAAGGTTCTTCCGGAACCCTGTGTCACCTTAGTCACGGGAGCAGAAAGTGCAATATTTCCTTTCACCTGGGAGGGGGAGGGGTTATTTCTGAAAGAAAAAATATATAAACAGATTGTCTACATTTATATTTTTAACCTGTTTAAAAACAACCTTCCAATATTGCCTTGTCTTCTGAGCTCTTGCTACAGCCGCCTTTGCTACTGCTTCAACAGAGTCTGCAGGTGTTGGTAAAGGACAGGACTGTTTTATTAAAAGCTTTACTCAACTTGATGGTACTGTTGTGGCCATTCTGTTACCGCGACATCTCATCCCCCACCATGTGCCTAGAGGGCAAAAACTGGCCCGAGCCTTTCATTCTAAGCCTCTGTAGAGTGACCCAATGCTGGCTTAGCATCCTGTAGTCTTCCTGGAGTTTGCTGGAGCTCCCACACGACAGAGATTTCTAGGAAGCAGCTAAAGCTTAGAGTGAAGCCCAAATACTGGGCCTGTGGAGTATAAAGGTCTTACTTGGGACCAGCAGAGGAGAAACAGGAATTATAATGGGATGTAGATAGAAGTTTCCATCCTGCCCGGTCCCACAGCCACTCCATCCCAACAAAACACACAGAGGTTATATTAATTATAAACTGTTTGGCCTAATTGCTCAGGCTTATTATTAATTAGCTCTTAACTTAAAATTAACCTGTAATTCTTATCTATGTGTAGCCACATGACTTGGTACCTTTTCTCAGTGCAGCATTTCATCTTGCTTCTTCTGCGTCTAGGAGGCGACTGCAGACTGAGCCTTTCCTCTTCCCAGAATTTTCCATGTCTGGTTATCCCGCCTATACTTCCAGCCTGGCTACTGGTCAATCAGCATTTTATTAAACCAATACAAATGGCAAATCTTTTTTTTTTTTTTTTTTTTTTTTTTGGTTTTTCGAGACAGGGTTTCTCTGTGGCTTTGGAGCCTGTCCTGGAACTCGCTCTGTAGACCAGGCTGGCCTTGAACTCACAGAGATCCGCCTGCCTCTGCCTCCCGAGTGCTGGGATTAAAGGCGTGCGCCACCATCGCCCGGCCAAATGGCAAATCTTTACAGGGTTCAAGAGCATTCTCCCAGAGCTGTGGGAGAACTTGACCAATAGATGGGTCCAAACAGATGTCAAGAAATCCTAAGCCAAGAACAGTGCATGCTGCACACTAGACACCCATGGTTAGGAGGAAAGGCTATGTTAAAAGCACCTAGGAGTGGGAAAAGGACCAGATAGCCAGCTGTGCCTGCCTGGAGCTTGCAGGAGCACAACAGGGAAGGGTCCACTGACTGAAGTGTAGATTTCTAACAATGCTTTCTCAAAGTGACTTCATGCATTCAACACTCAACCAAGATATTTTAGAACACAAAATATTAAATACACATAAAAAGTAGTTTCTCCCACCAAATAGTGGCCTAGAACATGCTACCCCAAACCCAAGATTAAACACTTTCCCTTCTTAGACACAAGCCCTATGGTAGATTTACAGCTCCCACCAAAGCTAGAGATGCTCACAAAATGTCTTTAATTACTCCCAATTTAGCTGATTTTCAGCGAGAATACATACATACGATCAAATCAGCTGCCACCTGTGGAGGAAGAGATGCTCTGGAGCACTGTACTGAGTGACCAGGCAACCAAGGACCTGTCCAAATCGCCCGGTGTCTACAGACACGCACAACAAACTCCTTGTCATCCTGACGGCATGGGCATCTAGAATCATGACAAGGATGGTATCCAGGCAAGCGTTCTCTCTCCACAGCTTTTGCTGACAGGTCCTGGACTGCAGGCAGCATGAATATAATCACTTCAGATGTGTCCCAGGTAGTCTTTCCCAGGAGACCAGGCTCAAATCTAGCTCTTCAACTTCTTTTGAAAATGAAGCAAACACCTTGTGCAGGGGCTTGGTGCGGAAGAGCATGTCATGGGATGCTCTGTGCTCTTCCCAGTGAGGGGGTGGCGCTTCTGTCCCTAAAGGAAGAGATTCTGTCAAGTTCATTAATCCAACCAGGGGAATCAGAACCAGATCACTGCTCTTCTAGACCCACATGACTTTTATTTATTTATTTTGGTCTATAGCTCTGTAGAGGTTGCCCCTTACCAGAACAATGTAATTCTGAGATTGGGAACTCAGAAAAAATAGACGCAATGTCAGAATACTGCTTTAAAAAAAAAATTACTGCCCATGTCAGATTATTATGGTACGGCTACACACGTGAAAACAAGTCTCCTGGCTAGCCCTGGAAAACTGCCACATACTCTAGAGGGCTAAGCATGTATTAACTTCATCACAGACAACCCCAGTTCTCTATCTAGGGTGTGGAGGGTACATACCCATGAAAACAAATTGTAAGTTTAAAGAATTCTGGCCAATCTGGGAAAGGCATGGAATGGGGAAAACTACGATAATGATGCTTAACATTTACAAAGACAGGGGGCTGGAGAGATGGCTCAGTGGTTAAGAGCACTGCCTGCTCTTCCAAAGGTCCTGAGTTCAATTCCCAGCAACCACATGGTGGCTCACAACCATCTGTAATGAGGTCTGGTGCCCTCTTCTGGCCTGCAGGCATACACACAGATAGAATACTGTATACATAATAAATAAATATTAAAAAAAAAAAACATTTACAAAGACAAAAAACTGTGGGAACGAACTTTTCTTAGTACATTTCTAGACTGTGAAGAGAAGGGGCTTGAAGTGTTCCACGGACGTTACTCTACATGCGCCACTCCATTGCTTCCACGAGGCATCGTCCCCCATACCTGGGCACGTCACAGTGACATCCGTGGGAAGAGTTGCTGTCAGGTCCTCATACAGCAGTCTGGCACTAAAGGAGGAGGTCTGGCGCCCCTGATTCACTTTATAGGTAAACGACAGCAAGTTGCACAGGGCGTTTCTCTGCAGAGGTCCAGTGAGGAAGGCGCTGAAGTCCATCTACCAAGGGAGGGAGCAATGAGAGGGATGACGGTTACTGCTCTAGAGGCACCGTGTGGGACAGGCAACATCTGCAGCTCGACAACACACAAGACTTTGTCTCAAAGGGACCAAGGGCCATCAGGAGTCCGTGGCAGGAAGCACTTCAGTGAATGATCAGGGACAGATAGGAGATGCTATTTCTGCCAAGAGTTTCACTGAGATTATCCTGTATGGAAAGATGTTTTCTTTAACTGATACCTGGGCAGAGGTGGAACCGCCCAGCTACAGCATCTCTGGTTCCCACCCTTGGAAGGCAGACCAGAGTTCAGGAGAAGACAAACAGTAGTCCTCTATGATCCTGGACACCTGCACAGGGTCAGCACAGAATTGGGCACATAACATCAGAGCTTAAAGTCTTTGCTCAGTTAAACAGCATGTCATAAAAATTCGAGGGTCACCAGTAGGAATGTGACCTGTGACCCTATAACTAGGACCCGTCCTTCAATGTCACTGAGAGGTGCAAAAGGGTGTGAGATGAAGAGGAACCTGCCCGTAGTGGGGAAACAAGTACTAGAAAGCAAGGGCACACGCTAGTGTGGAGCACGCCTCTAGTCAACGCTGCAGCTAAGGCAGGAGGATTGCTCTTGAGTCTCATGAGGGTGGCTTGGGCTTCACAGTGAGTTCCAGACCAGCCTGGGCTACAGAGTGAACCCCCGTTTCAAACCAACCAACCAACCAACCAACCAACCAACCAACCAACCAACCACAGAGTAAAGGTAACAGACAAACTTCTGGCTCAGAGTTAGGAAACATGAGGGCTGGGGTATGGCTTAGTGGCAGAGTACTTTCCCACCATGCCAAGGCCCTAGATCCAATCTCCAGCCTTGCAAAAAACAAATTTTCATATAAATAATAAAAACAGGGGACGGAGAGATGGCTCAGAGGTTAAGAGCACTGGCTGCTGGCTTTTTCAGAGGTCCCGAGTTCAATTCCCAGCAACCACATGGTGGCTCACAACCATCTGTAATGAGATCTGGTGCCCTCTTCTGTCATGCAGGTGTATATGCGTGCAAAATATGGCATATATAATAAAGAAATAAATCTTCAATAATAAATAAATAAATAAATCAGCAATGTTGGCGTACATTTGTAATCCAAGCATTTAGGAGGCAGAGACTGGTATATAGGCCCAAGTTCAAGACCAGTCTGGGCGGCTTATCCTAAGAACTTTGTCTCAAAAATAAACCTTTAAGAATGCATGCTCCAGGGCTGGAGAGATGGCTCAGAGGTTAAGAGCATTGCCTGCTCTTCCAAAGGTCCTGAGTTCAATTCCCAGCAACCACATGGTGGCTCACAACCATCTATAATGAGATCTGGTGCCCTCTTCTGGCATGCAGGCAGGCATGGAAGGAATGTTGTATACATAATAAATATTTAAAAAAAAAAAAAAAGAATGCATGCTCCATGGAGGTGCATGCCTTTAATCCCAGAACTCAGGAGGCAGAGACAGGTAGAACTCTGTGAGTTCAAGGTCAGCTACATTACAAGAGTTCCAGGACAGCCAGAACTGTTAACACAGTGAAACCCTGTCTTAAAAGGGGGGAAAAAAAAAAAGCCATGCTCCTTTGAAGTCTGTCATGGGCAATAAAATCAGACATAAAACCCCTACACAAATACCTCAAGTTGGTCTATCTGGTACTTCCTCCCCGAGTAGGCGTTTAGGTACTCGCAGAGACTAAACAGGAAGTGCTGGATGTCAGTCTGTAGGTATGCTCTGGCTATCTTTTCTAGAGGGATGAAGACTGGGATGGAGTGGTGATGAATCCGAAGCGGTTTCTCTATGATGAGGTCTACAAAGTAGGAATCCAGTAGCTTCCCCTCAAAGGCAGTGCTGATGCACATACACACTCCACGGCTGGTCAGCTTCCCGCTGAGTCCTAGGCAAACGGTGAGACAACACCTCTCAGATGTCAATCACAAGTTGTGGGTTAGGTCTGGGCATGCTAGCGCCTTCAGAAGACCTGGTATATTGATACACAGTGTGCCCAAGTGCTGGCCAAATATGGTATCAGACACTCTCCCTGACTGGCACACGTGAATCCGAGTTAAAATTCTGGAAAGATGAGGAAGTGAGAAGATATTCTAAATATCAAATGCTGAGGGAAAAGCTAGAAAATTTTATGTATTCTTTTTATTCTCTTGAGTTCTAATTTACGATGGTCCTCACTCAGTTCTTCCCACAGTCCTCTGTGGCATAGACAAAGAGCAAATTCCTATTTATACTGAAACAAAGATTTGAAGTTCCAACCATGACCACTCACTCCCACGTCATAGGCAAGCAGTGAACAAAGTTCCAGCAGGACCTGCCCAGTGCTGTGGGCTTGAGTCCCGCTCCCCACGTGTGGTTACCCCGTCATAGAGTTCTTCTCATTGCTGCTTTACAATTTTAACTTTGCCACTGTTTTTAATCATAATGTAAATATCTGACATACAAGCCCTGTCAAAGGGTCACTAGACACCCGCCCCTCAAGGCATCACAACTCACAGGTTGAAGCCACTGTAGTAGAGGGTCTAGCAAATGACTATCATGCAAAGTAACAGTTTCAGCCAATCTTTTACTGTCCAAAGAGGCCGATCTTACAGGTAGGCAGGCCTAAAAGCAACATGCCAGCTTGTGCATGTACAGCAGTGTATGCAAATAAGTTCTCAGGAACCAAGTCTATCCTAATACAGCTAGCCAACTAAGAACGAGTCAGAGCAGAGCAAAGGCCTACCTGTAAAACGATAGGCCTGCAGAATGGCTTTCATGTTCCTCCACTGCCTTTCCAAGGCCTCTTGCTCACTGGTCTCTACTGTGCTGTTTGGGTCTTCACTGGCCAAAGATGCTTTAACCTACAGGATATGCAGCAAAGCATACTGGTTATAATAGGGGCATCACAAAGTCTTGGCTACCATTTGACTGTATACAAGTAAGGGCAGTTTCTCTAATTCTGTGAGGCGTTCATGACAACTCAGTTGGTGTTGTGATGTACAGTTGACGGACAGGATGTGGTCACAATGTGAGGAATCAGGAGTAGAAACTGCGAGCTAATGAGCCAGGATTTTGATGGCAATGGTGAAGACTGCAGAGGAGAAGAAAGGGCACGAACAAAGCCTAGGATGAGTGCAGGGTGGACAAGACAGTGGGCCGTGAGAAGACAAAGCTGGAAAAGCCGGGACTCAGGCTTACACCCGTAGCTACCCTTTCCTCAGAGGATTAAGTGTGCAAGCTGGATTGCAAGTACAATTGGTGCAGGACAATTCCGTATTCTATCAATTATGTTTTAAATAAATGCTGATTGGCTAGTAGCCAGGCAGGAAGTATAGGCGGGACAACCAGACAGGAAGTAGAGGTGGGTCAAGGAGAATAGGAGAATTCTGGGAAGGAGGAAGCCCATTCCTCCCCAGTCCTGTCCAGACACCAAAGAAGGAAGATGTGACCTACCCTGCTGAAAAAGATACTGAGCCATGTGGCTAATATATACTAGAATAATGGGCTAATATAAGTTATAAGAGTTAATAAGAAGCCTGAGCTAATGGGCCAATCAGTTTATAACTGATGTAGACTCTGTGTGATTTTCTTTGGGACGTAACGGCTGTGGGAACTGGGCAGGACAGAAACCCCAACAAGCAGACCCACATATTACACACAATAAGCAAGCAATCAGAAAATGATCCAACCGCATCAGAGGAAACTCAAACAGGACTGAGAAGAAAACAAAATGCTTTTGAAGAAGCTGGCTCTCCTGCAGTTCCCTCTTCTCTTGGAGCATGTGCGATTCTGCATTTCAAGGTATACTTTCACTGTGTGGGGTATAGCACGAATAATAAAAACCCAGAGACAGATATTGGGGTTCAACCCAAAAACAAGAAAAGCAAAGCCACTAGAGAAGTCTTACTTCTACCAAGGCTGAGCAACTGTAGACTAAGCAGCGAAAGCAGCCTACCCAGCCTAAGAAGACTAAACCTCCCTTCCCCTCCCACTTTATATTCCCTCTAGTGCTGGGATTAAAGGTGTAGGCCACCACCACCTGGATTTGTTTATGCATTGATCTTGTGTAGCCCAGGGTGGCCTTGAACTCACAGAGATCCATCTGCCACTGTCGAGCAAATCCTGGGATTAAAGGTGTGTGTCACCACTAGACCTCTAGTGGCTTAGCTTTGCCCTTCTGATCTTTAAGCAAGCTTTATTTATTAAAACATAAATAAAATATCATTATAGTGGGGGACAACAGAAGACCAATGTTACTAGGTAGCTAAGATCTCACAGGGAAGTGATGTGGGATTCCCCTCTGTATGCTGTGAATATGTATTATTACCATTGGTTAAAAAACAAGCTGCTTTGGGCCTATGGCAGTGGAGAACAAAGCAAGGTGGGAATTCTAAGCAGAGATAGAGAAAAGAAGGGGGAGTCAGGGAGAAGCCATGAAGGAGACAGATGCCCAGAACTTTACCTGGTAAGCCACAGCATTGTGGTGATACACAGATTAGTAGAAATGGGTTAATTTAAGATGTAAGAGTTAGCTGGGCGATGGTGGCGCACGCCTTTAATCCCAGCACTCGGGAGGCAGAGGCAGGCGGATCTCTGTGAGTTCAAGACCAGCCTGGTCTACAGAGCTAGTTCCAGGACAGGCTCCAAAGCCACAGAGAAACCCTGTCTCGAAAAACAAAACAAAACAAAACAACAACAATAACAAAAAAGATGTTAGAGTTAGTTAATAAGAAGCCTAAACTAATAGGCCAAGCAGTGTTTTAACTAATATAGCTTCTGTGTAATTATTTCGGGTCCGGGAGGTCAGCAAGTAAAGGAGCAGTCTCCTTCTAAGGGAAGGGAACCCACATCTGCACACAATCGGTCCTGGCTAAGTTCAGAGCTGCACATGTGTGGCTGGAGTCGAAGAAATGACACAGAAAGAACTGCTGATGGTTATAAAGCCCAGCAGAAGACAGGCCTGTCCCCAACCCACTTTCAGATGTGTGGCTGGAGTAGGGACAGAGGAGAGTGCAGGCACCACAGAGGCCGTGTGCTAGCTGCCTGCTGGGAAAACAAACTCAAGTCTCTGGAGGAAGATGATGCAACCAGAGCCCTTCTAATATTCTCCTCATGCGCATCATTAAGAAAAACGTTACCAGGCAAACTATGCTGACGGTGTTTTGGCCATTCAATATAAGCTTGAGCAGCCATTCTCAACCTGTGGGTCACAACCCCTTTGGAGGTCAAATGACCCTTTCACAGTGGTCACCTAAGGCCATCAAAACCCACAGATATTTACATTACAATTCATAACGGTATAAAAATTATAGTTATGAAGTAGCAACAAAATAATTTTATGGTTGGGGGTCACCACAACGTGAGGAACTGTCTTAAAGGGTTGTAGCCATTAGGAAGGTTGAGAACCACTGCTATAATGGAAAAGAAAAGGGCTCATGGGTACCTACACCTGCCTAAGGATTTCCCCCCCCCCCCCCCCCCCCCCCGAGACAGGGTTTCTCCATAGCTTTTTTGGTTCCTGTCCTGGAACTAGCTCTTGTAGACCAGGCTGGCCTTGAACTCACAGAGATCTGCCTCCCGAGTGCTGGGATTAAAGGTGTGTGCCACCACCGCCCAGCCTGCCTAAGGATTATACATAAGGATTGATGGGGGGGGGGGGGGAAGAGACATTTTCTTCAGTCATGTAGACATTGGTAAAGTGTCCCTGCCAAAGGGCAAACAAACCCTTACCCATACCCTTATAAGCAACCCAGTGAAAGCTACTGGGTTGAAAACCAAAACAAAAAACCATGAAAGCAGAAGGGGAACAGGTTGGGAAGAGGAACTGGGGGTGAGGGACAAAGGGTAATGGGAATACTACATACATAACGAAACTGCTATAGTGAAACCCATTATATATACTTAATAGATGCTAGCTAAAACATCAAAACATTAAAAAAGAAACAATATTAAGAAAAAGATGATTAAATGAAACAGGTATCTTATATTTATTTAAACAAGCATGAAAGCAAAAGTAAGATTAGAAAATCAGTATAGATCTGTTACAGGAAAAACATACAAACTATAAAAAACAAAAAAACCCACTCTTCATAGGAACCCCAGAAATATATAGTAAAGAATGCCACTCATGTATTACTTGAAATGATAATGGTCACATTTTTCAATAAATGAAAAACTTCAAGTACTAATTTAAGCATCACCAAGCCAAATAAACACTATATCTGACCTCATTATGACATAAAACTGTCAAACACCAAAGACAGAGAATATGAAGTTAAAAAAAAAAAAAAGAAACCACATTTAAACAAGGTTGTCGCCTAATAAGATTGATGCCTAATGGTGAAAATGTGGACCTGAAGAAAATGGATGACAACCTTAAAGTATGAACAAAAATATGTACAACCTAATTTACACTCCAAATACAAGGCCAAAGGTATTGTTTTTTTCTTTTCTTGAGATGGGGGTCTCTCTATCATGTGACTCTGGCTGTCCTGGAATTGTAGACCAGACTGACCTCAAACTCACAGGTCTACCTGCCTCTGTCTCAAGAGTGCTGGGATTGGCCTGGAGAGATGGCTCAGAGGTTAAGAGCACTGGCTGCTCTTCCAGAGGTCCTGAGTTCAATTCCCAGCAATCACATGGTGGCTCACAACCATCTGTACTGAGATCTGGTGCCCTCCTCTGGCGTGCGGGCATACATCGAGGAAGAATGTTGTATACATAATAAATAAATCTTTAAATAAATAAATAAATAATCTAAAAAAAAAAAGAGTGCTGGGATTAAAGGCATGCACCATACCTAGCCTTCAAATGTATACAACAAAAAAGTCAGGAAAAAAAAATCTAAAAGATAAAACTGCACGCTTCAGGGGTTACCAAACTATACACAGCTTGTGTCATGATACCCCCGGCTGGTTGTGAACTCTGGATCTTTCTTCCTTAGCCTCCCAAGTGTTGGCATTACAAGACTTATGGTACCATGACCAGCAGGGTGCCTTTTTAAAAATAGGTTTAACCAGCTCACCACCACACCCATCTTACACATCTTTCACACAAACAAGGCAGAGCTATGTAGCTGGTACAGACACCACAGCCTAAAATATCTGCTCCTCGAAAACTAAGGTTAGCTGTTAAACAGACCAATGGAACCAAACAACCCAGAGATGACCAACTCCCATACGAGACAAGTGATCTTTTCAAGATGTTGTTTGGGAGGCAGTGGGGGGTAAACATGAACTATCTGAACGATGAAACAAAGCATAAAATAACAGGCCATCACCTTTACTATGTCAGATGAAGATTTATGAAACCAAAACACAAAAGCACAAAGCTAAATTTCAAAATGGATCTCTACTTACAGAGAGTGGAAGGCAAGTCACAGTCCAAGGGAAAGAACTCAAACCCAAAAATATATAAAGTAAAAAAAAAAATCCTAGCTGATGGCATTTATTTATTTATTTATTTATTTATTTCAGCAGCCATAAGAAGAACACTTGGGAAACTCAGGAATCTACCACAGGCACAGGCGTAGCACAGTACTGAAGGGAGACTGATTCTAGAATCTACTGCAGATATCCAAACCTATGGATGCTCAAGTCCTTGCCTAAAGACCAGACTATCTGCTTTATAACCTCTACTTCTTGTACACTTTAAATTACCTCTATAACACTGTGTAAATATGCAACATTATATATTCTGTTCTTTGGAGAATGGCAAGGGGAAAAAAAGCCAAATACAAATTAAGTCTATAATAAAATACTATTATACCCCCACCATAATGACAAACCTGTAAAATGGACAATGCCAGACTGGTAAAGTTGCAAAACAACAAAGACCTCAGTAGCCACTGTTGGGATCGTAAATTGAACACATACACTTTACAGGGTACAGCACTCGTTAAAGTGAACCTGCAGGCTTGTGCTGAATAGGAAAGTCCTGTGTCTTTAATGAAGCAGCAGCAACAAGAACATCACAGCAGCAATCTTCATGATGAACCCAAAGTGAAACAACCCAAATGACCCACACGGTGCCCACAGGGGAGCAGGAAAATTATAACTGTCAGAGAACAGAACTGCTGCCCAGCAGTGATGGCCTGAACCAGGCTCACAGACTGTACACTCAGCAAAATAAGCAAGACAGAGGAGCTCATAGTCTACAGTTGTATGAAACAGGATGGGGGGTTAACACCGAAAGGTAAGACTAACAGGAGACACAGGATAATTCTGGGCACTGGTAATAACCTGAGTTTTCACTTCTGGTAGAAACCTGGCTGCATTCCCTTAAGATGCTCATTAGCCTCTTCACATTTTATGTATTTTTCTTCAGTAAAAAGCAAATTAAAGAAAAGAGGAAGAGGGTGGGAGCCCATGTGTGACTCAGTTTACATCTAGAGACTTCTGATTTAGCCCGCGAAAAAAGAGCACTCTATCTAGTAGACAGTATACTGCTGACGACAAACCTCAGGAACATCAAGAAAGAAAGTGAGGCTGCTTACGAGCAGCAAGTACATGCTGGAGGGGAGGCTGCTCACTCAAGGACAGGAATGGTCCTGTGGTTAGATACTGACCGACTGTCTGTGCTGTGCTTTGTTCTGCTTTTGTATATAAGCAAGTTCTGTAATAAACACTGGACTGTTTGGCTGCTTCAGCATGACCAGACAGACCTCCCAATTCTATCCTGTCTTCTGTTTCTTCTGACTTTTCTTTGGCCTCGAGGATCCCCTATCCAGGAACCCTACCTGACCTTGTAGGAGTGGGCTCCTACAGAAGAGTGGGAAGGGAGGGAAGGAAAGGGCAGGAAGGCTGGCCTTATGGGTAATGATGGCTATCACTGAGTAGTTACTGCCTGTATTTGGGCAGGGGAAGAATTTGACATTTTGTGCTGTGGGATGTCTTTCTGTATGCTGTTACTATGTCTTGATCTCATTGGTTGATACATAAAAGTTGCTTTGGCCTATGGCAAGGCAGGATAGAGCCAGGCAGGAAATCCAAGCAGAGATACAGGAAAAAAAGGGTGGAATCTGGGAGATGCCATCCATCCATCCAAAGAGCAACATGCCAGCAGACCAGTAATGCCATGGCTACGTGGAAATACACAGATGAATAGAAACGGATTAATTTAAGATGTAAGAGGTAGCAGGCAATGAGCCTGAGCCATCAGCTAAACATTAATAATTAACATTAAGACTCAGAGTAGTTATTCAGGAACTGGTGGGCAGGATTGAAATCTCCATTTACGATTTTGTAACATTTTCTTGGCCCTGCAGGATTAGTGGAAAAATGGAAGTATTAAGAGACCCCCAAACTATTGTAATAATCCTAGGATCCAACCTGCCTGGTAACTGGATTTACCACATATGATGGTAATACTTAATATATGGCAGGGAAGTCAAAGACAGCAGAGGACCACTTGACAGATGTGCTGACTGGACCTCATCTAGAGTGGAAACCAGAAAGAAGGAATGGCCAATGACCACTGTGAAACTCTGAGACCGGGTGACAGAACTTTGGCACGGATGGCAAAATTATAAACAGCTTAGATCTGCTGACGCTGAGGTACCAGGTCAGGTGTCTGTGAGGGAAGGCAGAGGGGAGGCTCACAAAGCACTTGTCTGCCTCTTCATCATCACTTGACAATTACTAGTCAATATTCTTAGCTATATCTCCACAGGTCTGTTTATTTGAAGAGAATCAAAGACTTGAAATCCATCCAGTAGGATCCCAAGTAAAACACGTGGCCCTGGTTGGCTGATCCCTGATCACAGCTGCCCCTCACCCCAGGAGAGCCCACGAGGCTCTTTCACTCACTCTAGCTTGCCGCCGCCGCTTCACTTCAGCCCTCAGCTCTTCTCGCTGCTTCCGCAGTTCCTGAATCCTGGTTCTAAGAGAACTTTCCTTTGTGTGAACTGTCGGATCTTCAAACTTTTTCCTTGATCTGTTCATTTGAGCCTCTAGTCTTTCCAGGTGAGCTAGAACACCTAAGGGGAAAAAAATTAAAAAAAAAAAACAAAAACTTCACCATTGGACAAGGACAAGGGTTTAACTCTGGCAAAAATGCACACTCTAAGAAGTAACAGTTTTGTTTTGTTTTGTTTTTTGTGCTAAACAAAGGGCTATTTCATCTTACAGGTTACAGTCCATCATGAAGGAGACAGAGAAGCTCAGGCAGGAACTGAAGCAGATTGAGGAACACTTGCTCAGTTTGCTTTCTTATATAACCCAGAATCATCTGCTGGGTGTATGTGTGTGTTGTAGGACCTCAGGGTAGGAACTGAAGCAGAGAGAGCAGAGACGGTGGAGGAACATACTTCCTGACTGGCTTCCTCCTCCTCTTCAGCTAGCGTTCCTACACAACCCAGGACCACCTGCGCAGGGGCAGTTCCACCCACAGTGGGTTGGGCCCTCCTCCATCTGTCAGCAGTCAAGAAAATGTCCTAAAGAAATGCCCAGGGACCAAGCTAATGAGGTAATTTCTCCACTGAGGTTCCCTCTTCACAGGTGTATCAAGTTGACAACCAAATCAGCCATCACAATAGATGTCTCATTTATCTAGGATCTGAGAGCCAGCTAAACTGTTAAATGAATTGAGGGCAGGTGCCTTTCCTATTTATCGAGACAGGGTCTCTCCTACATGGCTAGTCTTGGACTCACAGTCACCTCACCTGCCTCTACCCAGAGTGCTGGTATTATGGCTCTGCCATAAATTTATAAAACCAGAGGACCAAACAACCAAAGCAGAGACCACCGGCCTCTCTGCTGAACTCTGGTGTAAAAGCCCTCCCTAAGCGGGATGCTCGTTTACAGAGAACAAGCAACTGGCTTGTCAGCTGCTTGCTTTGTAGGCCCACCACCACTTCATCTAAGCCTGCTGAACGCAGAAACACATCCACGGGGTGCAAAAGGACGATTCTCAATCGCTTCACCACAAACAAGACCCAGTATCTACTTTGCAAGGATTTTGGAAACAGCGGTTTGGCAAGGGGGTCGCGACCCACAGGTTGAGAACTACGGCTTACTTGTGCGTGCAGAACAGTTTTAACACAGAAAGTTGCCAGACTTACTTTTGGTTTTGAAGTAACAATTTAAACCCGCATGTCGTTTATTATCTCACATTAATTTAAGAAAAAATAAAAGAAAGGAGGGAGGAAGAAACCGAAGCAGAACTGTAATGGGTCTAAATCACAGTATTTACAAAGACAGGGCCCTGAATCAAATCCACAGCTCATCGACAAAGTTACTGCCCCACAGCGGCCCCTCCTCCGTCACAAGGTCTGGAAAGAGATACAGCGGTACGGGGAAGGCCAACCCTCTCAATACCTCCTTTGCTCTCCCCGCCTTGACACAAAGTATTCGCAGACGCCATCTCTTGAGCTCAGGTGCCGGCCAGGGCAAGTTTAATACGAACCCAAACGTCCTTGACTGTAAACAGGAAAAGAAAAACAATCATCCTTAGCACTTGGAGAAACCCCGACTGTCCCGGGGTAGACGAGGTGTCCAGCCCGCCTCCCTGGCCGTGAACTTGTCAGACGCATCCACGCCTACCTCACCGCCACGGCCGCTCGGCTGCAGCCGGGCTTCCCCCGAGCACCGCAGGATCTGTGCAGGACGGCGAAGCCGGCTACCCGGGTCCTGCTTTCTCTCTCTCCCTTTCCCTGCCTCTGTCTCCCGAGTGCTGAGATTAAGGGCGTGCGCTACCCGGTTTGCTTTCTCTTCAGAGCGAACTCACTCCGGTTCCAGTTTAAGACTTCCCGCCGAGGGCGTCTTCGAAAACGCCAACCCCAGCATGCTTTGCGCTTCCGCCGTACAAAAACATGGCAGCGCCCACGGCTCCACCCTAATCCCAGCATGCACCGCGGAGTGGGTCCGGCCATTCAGATGGTTAGGAAGATGGCAGGCTCCGGGGCGGAGCCGCAGATCCTCGTACAGTACTTAGTGTTACGAAAGGATCTATCTCAGGCTCCTTTCTCCTGGCCCACGGGCGCACTGGTAGCGCAGGCTTGTCACGCCGCCACCGCAGCCCTGCACCTTCACCGAGAACATCCGCATACAGTAGCTTATCTCCGGGAGCTGGGGCGCATGCGCAAGGTGGTTCTCGAGGTGAGTCGTAGGCGTGTGTAGGAAGGGAGCTAAGGGATGGGCGTGCAGAGGCCGGAAGTAGTTCTACTCGGGCCCAAACCTTGACTTCCGGGAGTCTTTGCGGCCAGACTGTTGGAGGGATCTTTAAGAGTTTGGGGTGTGTTCTGCAGCTTGAGCTGCTACGCAATGACTCTTTCTCTGGGCAGGGCATGACTGTGAAGAGCGGACATAGACCCCGCTGTCACAGGCGTCTCAGCACCTTGGGTCACCAGAAACTGGTTCCCGTGTCCCTTAGGTCCCAGGGAGGGCGGAGCTGCGGAAGCGCGGTCCTTCCTTTCTACCTGTGCACCAGTACGTTTTTTTTTTTTTTTTTTTTTTAAAGCTGTGCCTAAAAGCACCACTACCTTAATAAACGTGGTTAGCCAGGGAAATCGAGGCCGTTTTGTTAAGGAGAAAAACCCTGAGCTGGGAAAAGGTGTATGCTTTTCAGAAGTGCTGAATCTCATGACTGTCATTTACATAGCACCTGTTTCTCTAGAGAGATAATCGGGCAGGAAAACACAGTCAGGGTGAGACTAGACGAACAAGGGCCAAAGGGACCATCGTGCCAACCGACCTATTTACAGCTGTTCTCAGCTTTCTGGGGGGTGCTGTCCCATCGATATAGGTGACTTACACGTCTACTGGATTAATTTGAAATTTTAAAAAAGATGCTTAAATTACGTTTACGTGTGTTTGTGTGGGGGTATATGCACACGAGCGCAGGTATGCTTGGAAGTCAGAAGAAGGTGTCGGACCTTCTGGAGCTGTAGTTACAGGCAGTGTGAGCAACCAGATTTCAGAAAGTTGTGTTTCCACCCAGGTCAAAGGTTATCCTCAATGTGCATGCATAATATTCTAGTTTCCTTTTTGCTGCTGGGAGAAACACCATGACCAAAAAGCAACTTGGAGAGGAAAGGGCTTGTTACATCTTAGAGGTTACATCCATCCTCTGGGGGAAGCCAAAGCAGGAACTCGAGGCAGGAGTTTGATGCAGAAACCACAGAGGAGCACTGTGTACTGGCTTGCGCCCCTTACTTTCTCAGCTACTGTACTTATACAGTTAAGGCCCACTCATCTAGGCACTGCCCACAGTGGACTGAGCCCTCCCGTATCACATAGTTGAGAGATGTGTCCTGCTTCAACACTAGGCTTGGGCCTGAGGGGATGAGAGAGCGAGAAGGAAGCTACACATAATTCTAGAAACACTCCTGGGGTTGGAGAGATGGCTCAGAGGTTAAGAGCACTGACTGCTCTTCCAGAGGTCCTGAGTTCAGTTTCCAGCAACCACATGGTGGCTCACAACCATCTGTAATGAGATCTGGTGCCCCCTCCTTAACTGTAGGCATACAAGCAGACAGAATACATAATAAATAAATAATTCCTTGCCTACTGAAAAAAAATCCTCCTGGTTGTCATCCAAGTGAGAGCTGGCTGAAGGATGAGGGCGAGCTGCTCTAGGAGCCAGCTGTAAAGAACCGAGAAACTACAGAGCAGAATTCAAGAGGGAAGAGAAAATTGCGTTTTATTAATAGACTATTAAGCCTCCTTCTCTGCCCCCTTCTAGCCACTCTGTAAGATCCTAAAGAGTGGAAATAGCAAACCAGGGCGTGAATCTGTTGCTAGGCAGTTCTTCTGTAGAGGCACGTCTCCAGTTTCAGAGCCCCCTGCACCCTTTTGTGCACCTTCTGACACTTCCTAAATGGGCCATGCAGTCTGGGTGTTGTGTTCTGCAACTTGCAGGCTGCCGATGAGACCGCCTTGAAGGAGCTGGCGGAGACTCTGCAGCAGCAGAACATCGACCACATGCTATGGCTTGAGCAGCCAGAGAACATCGCCACCTGCATCGCCCTCAGGCCGTACCCCAAGGAAGAAGTGAGCCAGCATTTGAAGAGGTTCCGATTGTTCAAGTGACTGCATTCTGGCAGAATTGGATGTCAAATGCCCTCCATCCTGAAGCATTGTGGACTTCTTTCAGTTAATGTGCTCCTCCCTTCCAGTTATGATGGTTTAAGAGCCAGCACAGGCTCAAATTAAAGCCATCGTTAGCGAGTACTTCCTATTGTCATTATTATTGTCACCAGATTCAAGCGAGGGAAGCTGGTAAGCAGTGATGCCGTCTGCGGGTCATTACTCAAGCAGAAGATTTTTTTTGGTTAGGAGTATTAGACTTCTAATCACCCAGGTTTAAGTGTTGCCTTTGAGTTCTTTACCTATCCCATCCCCTCCTGCTTCCCATCACTGGCTTCCAGCCTCTAGTGCAGTAATAGACACTTCCTATTCTTCCTCTCTTTGCTGCCTCATGAATTCAGTTAAACACTGTCACCATCACAGCCAAAAATTGTTCCCTTCTCCAAACATGTATACACATAGTACACTGTTCAAAATATTTCTGTTAACATGTGTTAATTGAGCGTTTGGGAAGTCGAGTTTATATGACGTAATCTATTCAGTAGATACCTCTTACGAGAGAGAGAAAAACCAGGAGTGGTGGCTCACGCTTGTAATCCCTGCACTTGGGAGGCTGGGGCAGGGGAGTTGTCTTGAGTTCAAGACCATTTTGTGCTACTGAGCAAGACCCTGTCTCAGAAAAGCTGAAAATATTCAGGTGAGTGAATTGGTCATTGCCCACTTCCTGTAAAACGTGTGGTAATTAACCTACAAAAAGAGAAGACTTGCTTTGGCTGGCTGTTTCGGAGGTCCCAGGAGAAGACTAGGCAGACTCGGGGAGCTGGGTGGCAATTCTGGATGGCAAAGGCAAGCGACAAGGTGGTGAGGCCTGCTTGACCACTCAGCCAGGAAGCAGAAAGAGAACAAGGAAGAGGCTGGTGCACCACAGTCCTTCAGACTGCCCATGAGGTCCTGTCTTGTGAAGGCGGCACTGCCTTCCATTAGGGGCACTCTAGACCAAATACTCAGTGTTAGGATTCAGGCATGATGCTGGCTCCGTCAGCTGGCAGGATGCACTCAGCCAGTACCCGGGCCAGCCCAGGGTCCTATGGCTGCTCCCCACTACAGTCACCACATAGTCTGTCTGCAGGTGAAATGGTTCCTTTAAGAGACAAGCTCCGCCCACTCCTCTTTCCCACGTTAGTCTGAAGAGACAGGCAGGTCCTTGCCTCTCTTCCTCTCTATCTATTTCTTTTTCCCTTCCCTCCCCCCACTCCCTTTATCTCAATAAAACTCCCACGTATGCTCTGCCTGCTTGGTGTGTCTATCCGTCACCCCTTGGAGGGCTCTCACCCAGCGCGCGGCCCTTTGACCCACCAAGGTCCCTCTCCCTCTGTTTTACAACACTTAGCATTTGGACCTTTGGGTCTTTTTTTTTTTTTTTTTGGTTTTTTTCGAGACAGGGTTTCTCTGTGGTTTTGGAGCCTCTCCTGGAACTAGCTCTTGTAGACCAAGCTGGTCTCGAACTCACAGAGATCCACCTGCCTCTGCCTCCCAAGTGCTGGGATTAAAGGCGTGCGCCACCATCGCCCGGCTGGACCTTTGGGTCTTATTTCCTTACGTGGGTCCAGAGTTCCGGGAGAAACTGGTAGTGCCGAGGGCAGCTCCAGGCCCAAGAAAGCCAAATGAAGCGCAGGGTAAGAAAGCACCCAGAGCGGCATAAATCACAGAAAAGGCTTTGGCGGTTGGGCGCGCCCTGTGGACTCAGTGGAAACGGCTTTTTAAAGAGCATAAGGGTGAAAACTAGATGGTAGTGTCTTGAGACAAGAGTGGGAGGGGAGAGAAGCGCTCGAAGCTATTTCAGGAAATTCAAAGGGAAGAAAAGAAGGTGTTGTTTGAAGGGATGCTGGAAAGGTAAATTCTGGGTCTCGCATTGGGAGGAGGGGGACTGTTTGACATGTTTGAGTAAGGACACAGTGCTCACAGTCAGTCGCGAGGCTCTAACACCACCTTCTGGCCTCCATGGACACAGCACCACACGGTGCACAGATATATATGCAGGCAAACACACATAAAATGAATTTAAAAACTTTAAATTTAATACATTTATTTTATGTGTGAGGGTATTGTCAGCATGCATGCCTGTGTGCTGTGTGTGCCTTGTGCCCATAGAGGCCAGAAGGGGGTCTTTGAATTACAGGTGGTTGTGAGCCTGTGACTCCACTGCTGGCTGTCCCTCCAGGTGCAGGTGGGTCCGGTAGGGCCGGTGGTCGCTGGTACCATAATGGGGTGTTGGTGGGAGAGGGTGCTGCTGCCTGGTCGCTGGGGGGTGTCGTAGGTGGGGGAGGGGCCGGGGCTAGGGCCTAGGCAGCAGGGCTCTCCATCTGGGATATCAGATATTCACCTGTCCCTCCTAGTGCAGGTGGGGTGGTGGGTTCAGTGGTCGCTGTTGCGGCGGGCAATGGTTCTTTCTTTCTTAAGGAGCGTCCCAAAAAGATGGAATGTTTCAACCTCAGGATGAAACTGCTACGGAATACCTATTCTGGGAACTGAGGGTATAATATGGTCATTTGGCAGAATGCTTCTAGAATGCACCATCTCTGGGTTTGATTCCTAGCACCTTTAAATATGGCATGGGGTGCAATACTACCATGACAGACATGCAATGCCTGTCTGTGCAGGAACTGGGTTTGAAACAAAGGTCGTTCGTCAGTTCCGGTTTTGCTTTCTCATTGGTATCTACTACTGTTAAGATACCAGTTTGAGGTGTTTTGGAAAGGGACCACAAGCTGTTCAAGCACAGGAACACTGCAGCTACCTGGGAAATTGTTTAAATACATTCACATTAACTTCACATCCTCAAGGTCATATAAATTAGTACCTAGAGCTCAGTTATCACCAGTTGAGCTGACAGAAAGGAGTTTCTGAACTTGGGAAGTGAAGAT